TGATAATGCTTTCTTCCTTTTTTCAGTCATAGGCAATTCTTAGCTGAAATCAGTGGAAAGTGGGTTAGCTATGGAAGCTGAATGCTGGGCATAAGACAGTTCCCTTTCATTAACAAACATACTAGCTGGATAAGTTTGAACTGACACAATAGGTAATGCTCTCTTCCTACCACTGTGATATTATTCCCTTCTGTTGTTTAGAACCTAAATAAATGCAGACTGCCTGGACAAGTACCTTGTCTCTATCCACAAGGAATCATGGATTCTGTTAAAGGGTTTTCCTCTTCCTAGAGCCCTAAAAACAAACCGCTTACCTCTTTTCTTTAAGCAGTTTGCCATCCACTCATTTAGAGATGCATACTTTATTAGTTTATAATAAAGGATCTCCCAAATAGCTCTAAAATTAACAACCCATTTCATCCATATTATATACCCCAGGGGACTTATACTGACTGGTACTACTGACCTCCTTATATTATAGACTACTGAAAAAAATGGATGACCCAGGCACAACAAAATTGACCATCTTATTTAAGAACAGAGAGCTGAGAAATCCTAAGCCTCTTTAAATGAGGGGATAGACATGTCTGGACTAAGAATGAGAAGTGAGCTCTCTTAAGTCTCATAGGTGAGACATGAGATCAGTTCATTGTGCTTCTGTACTGGTTGTGTGCTCTGGAAGCTCAGGGTGTTTATCCTCCACTGTGTCTCATTTCATGCAGATCAAATTCTATTGTCTGAATGCTACGAGTCTGTGGCTAGAGGGAGTGCCCCACAAGAATAGGCCTGTTTTGTCCTTCCCTTATAACATCTCTAAAGGTAACTGCTCAAAACTTGGATTCATAAATGTGTCCCCAAACCCAGACATCTTCATTTTCAAAATACTCACCCCAAGCTGTGCAAACAGAAAGAGATACCAAAAACAGAGCATAGAGTCTCATCATGGAAGGACAGCAACTTGACAGCCACGGAGATCTCTGTCCTGACCCAAGGGGATGCACTTGTCCTCACCAGCACTGCTCCTGAGAATCCCACTCCAATGGACCATATACGAAATCTGAATGAATAGAAAATATTTTCTTCTTATAAAGCTCTCCGTAGGTTTTCCATTGGACATTCAAGCTCCACCCCCTAGAGTTTGACCTTTTTTATCTGAGCAGTTGCTCATACAGTGTTTAGCTAATCTTTTGTTAAACAGTCTGGACTTTACACTAGTTGATATCACCACAATCTAGTCCAATAACTTTTTATATAAGGGTTTTTTTTGCTATATGTTTCATATATAGTGCAATAAGAACCTCTCAAAACATGAACCAGACCCAGGACTGGCTTGTGAGTGGGACTGCCTGGGTTTTGCCAGATCCTCATTCAAACTAGTGCCCAGACCCAGAATGTGAGTGCAATTTGTCCCTCAGACAGGCCGAGTGTGGAACCCTGGAGATGAACTCCCTCTAGAGAGGGTAGAGGTAAGACACATCCAGCTGATCCAGGAGCAGAATGACTTGTGAGAGTGGCACAGTGAGTTCACACCCAAAGGGTGCAGCAGGAAAAAGTGGAGCACAGTGGCCAATCCCAAGCCACACCCACCTGGATGACTTTGAACTTGGTGGATCTGGACCTGGTACTAAGGTAATAACTCTACCAAAGCTCTACGACAAAGATCAGAGCACAGTGCTATACAAAATGACAAAGAGAAGGAGCAAAATGCATTCTCAGGCCCCAAGCCCACCCAGAACAAATGCAGGAGACAGTAGCATAGAAGAAATTAAAAATCACACACCTGAAATCTCTGAAACTATAGTGTCTGAAGTAAAGAAGTAACAACAGAAAAGTATAGAGGAAATCAGATCATAAATAATCTCTGAAGTAAAAAAAGAAATGATAACTATAATGAAAGAAATACTAAGTGCTTCTAAAGAAGATACTGATGAAAACAATAGAGCAGAGTACAAAAATGATGGAATCCTTGACTGAGCAATATAGGAAAGAAATAGAATGCATGAAGCAGATTCAAAGAGATATATAGGAAATTAAAACCTCAATCACTTGCTGGCAAAACTGTTTCACTGAAAGTGAAAATAGACTTTCAGTCATTGAAGACACCATTGTAGCTAGTGAAAAGGTATGAAAAGATCTCTTAAAAACAACTGATATACAGGAACTAATAATTCAACATCTGTAAGACAGTGCAAAATTGAACAATGTAAGAATAATAGGCATCAATGAGAAAGAAGAAGTCAATAACCAATAAGATAAAAATAATATAGGCAAAAGTAATAGATGAAAACTTTCTAAATATGGGGAAGCAGTCTGATATTCACGTAACCAAAGCATATAGAACTCCAAATAACTTCAACCCAATTATAACCACACCCAGACATATAATCATAAAGATTTCAGAAATTCAGCACAGGAACAGTGTACTAAAAGCTGCTAGAGAAAAGAAGCAGATCACATTTAAAGGAAAACCCACCAGAATAATGGCACATTTCTCTTCACAAGCCATCAAGTCAAGAGGAGCATGGAGCAACGTACTACAAGTCTTCTAAGAAAACAAATTCCAACCCAGATGGATATAACCTGCAAAACTCTCTCTCAAGTATAATGGAGAAGTGAAATACTTCCATGACAAAGAACAACTAAAAAATTTCATAGAGAGGGCTGGGAAGATAGTGCAGTAGAACAAGCACTTGCCTGGCAAGTGCAAGGGCCTGTGTTTAATCCCCAGTTATGAAAAAAAAATTGATGACATCAAAACCAACCCTACACAGACTACTAAAATATATTCTAGAAAGGAACCAAAATGACCACAACTTCATAAATTAGAATAGAAAGAACCCACCAAATAGGGTTTACAACACGAGAAAAAGAGGTATACAACAGCAGTCTTTCAATTATTCTTTTGTATACAGCATCAAAATATTTCTATCAGCATACTCTACAAGTGGACTTCTCCTGCACGCTATGGGTCATGACTCTCTCCAGGTCTGCAGGGTGGATATCAAAGTAATAGCAGTAGCACAGTCCCACAAGTGACACCTGCCCACCAGTAAGCATCATGAACACTGTCCATATCCAAGGCATGATAGAACTTTGTGTGATATCCTATCTCCAAACTGTTGGAAGTGCTGGTCATATATTTGCCTATCCAGTATTCATATTATCTTTTATTCTTAGTAATTCTTTACTAACATGAAAATGTTTTCTTCTTTGATATTTTGTATATATTAACCTATTCAAATACAATGTGAGTACTCTGAATTGATATGATATTTTCTCCTAGTATTGGAAACTTTAAAAAGTATATTTCTATATTCCATTGACTTTATGTT